AAGAGTAAATTTGTGACAATAATGCTTTAAATAATCCTTGCCCCCATAAAAGAAAAGTTGATGTAGACAGAAGTACTGACAATAGTGCTTTGGTATTGCTTCGCTCAAAAAAAGATAATAAATTAATTGTTTCAATTAATTTGAAAGACCTAAAAACCAAATTTAATGTCAAAGATGATGATCGTTGTAGTAGTCTCATTGTATCTATAAAACTCTCAACCACTAAATGTAAATCGAAAGATGATAAAACAAAGTGTGTTGTAAAAAGTGACGATTGTAGTAGTAGTCTGATTGTATCTATAAAACTCTCAAGCATTAAATTAAAGACAAGTAATCCAAAAAAAGATGATCATATCATCTTTACTTATGAAGAGCCTGCCAACCCAGATAATGTAAGGAGGAGACAAAGGGATTATGTTTATTACTCTGCTAATGAAGAAGTTCAAAGAAGGTGGGGTGAGATATTGAACCTTAAGTTTGTAGCAGCTGCTAGAATCTTACCTGTTAGTCCAACAACACCGTTGTCAGATGAAAGAGTTCCTAATAGTACTCTTGATGTTCCTGGTGATTGGAACTGTTTATTTTATGCCCTTTCATATCTCATTACTGGGTCCATTTCTCAGCATTATGAATTACGTAGAGCAATTGTTAGTAATATGCCAAACTTTGAACAATTGTTTAATAGTACATTAAGTGCAACCAGATATTTAAGCATATATGATTACATAAATCAGTCAAAAATGTATAGAAATTATGTGTGGGCCACTGACACAGAGATTATTACACTAACAGCATTATCATATATTCATATTCACTCACTCCTACATTTGTTGGCTGGGCTAGATATGGAACCCAGGAGTTGTATGGCATTCCTTGTGATACTACTACACCTGCTTTGTATTTGAAGCATGTTGGTACTAATCATTTCCAAGCAGTTAAGTCTATTAATATTTCTTAAAGCATGAATTGTTGATGGAAGTTGGTATGGTGAATGGGAGGTCCATCATCTTTAAAACATTGGTTGTTTAATGTGACTTTTATTTCACTGCATGTGCAATGTGAGTGAGTGTCAAAACCAGTGGTGCATATCCACCCATTATTGCTCAGTATAAAGTGATCAAACTGCATTCAGGATGTGAGATTAATCAATGTATAACAGTGAATATTGAGTACTTGCTGCTATAATGGACAGGGAGAGGGTGTGAAACAGGTTTACTGTTCATTAGAGTTTAGCATTGATTCAATTTCGTGTGACTATCATTTATATAGGACAGAGGGTTAGGAAGGGAGGAAGCTGTCATTATCAATTCCCGATCTTGTTTGTGGCTTGTACTACATGTTTGTAACAAATATCAGGTGCTTATGGATCAAGGGTGCTGCTGACAAATTTTGAAGGACAAGAAAAATTTAGAGTAACAATAAAAGTTCTCATTATACATGTAGTGTCATTCAAACAGTGATTTGGTACATATATATTAAAGATCATCATACATGTCAATGCTGCCATCAATGCTGTGCGCATTACATATATGTAAAAGCTTGCCAGCTGATGTTGTGCATAATGCTGCCATCAATGCTGTGCGCATTATTAAGTTAATGCCTGCCGGCTGATGTTGCGCATTTGAATGATGCTGCCATCAATGCTGTACGCATATTAAATGCTTGCCAGCTGATGTTGCGCATCTTTTGTTGATGATTGTTGTAAATATGTGCATGTTCACATTAACAAAAAAATA